TAACCTCTGCAATGTCTGAAGAATGTAAGGTACAGGCAATCAGCTCTTTTATAACATTGTTTATCATAATTGTTGCAATATTGGACCCAAACTAAACCCAAAACTTTAGCAACAGGACAGATCAACCAATTGAGTGGGGATGCCCCCCCCCCCAGGAAGGATCACCACCTCACTCTCACAAATACAGGCCATCCTCAGTGGTTACCCAATTATGGGACACCCTATTACTCACAGTAGTTTTGTACCTCCTCTTCTCTTCCTGTTGTAAATAAAATTTAGACCTGGGAAAATGCAGTAGTGGACTTGTGACCCCACCAGGGACACAACAAAGAGACAAGAGGCATTTTCTCAGGCCTGTTTTTATAAAGATACTCACTAATCTCATTTATGAAGATACTGTTCCCATGACTTAATCATGTCCCACAGGCTCTGCACCTAACATTACCTTGAGGGTAAAAATTTCAACGTACTCTATCAATGAAATGAGTTCATTTCTCTGTCTCTCTCTCTCTCTGTCTCTCTCTCTCTCTCTCTCTCTCTCTCTCTCTCTCTCTCTCTCTTTGTGTTTTCGAGACAGGGTCTTGCCATCTAGTTCAGGCTGGCCTTGGGTTCACTTTGTAGCCCAGCTGGTCTCAAACTTGCAAATGACTCTCCTGCCTCAGCCTCTCAAGTACTGGGATTACAGAAGTGTGCCACCATGCCTGGCTGAGTTCATCTCTTATTGAGTGCAAAGCTGATAAGCAAAACTAGGGGTTAAAAGAGATGTTCATTACTAGCAGCAAGTAAGTAGCACTGGGAATAATTAGCAAAGCACTGTCTCCCTGTTCTTATGTTGATGATACAAATATATTTGCTGTATGCTAATTTCAGATATGGGAGAGACAGAGAAAGAGACACACACACAGAGAGATAATGAGAATGAATTTAATACTACATATAATTCCACAAGGAGTAAGTTAGAAAGGAAAATTACATTTATTAAAAAATATATATGCCAGGCACCATACTAGTGCTTTTTGATTTTCTTTTTCTGTATTAATGGAGATGGAATCCAGAACTTTCATGCTGAGCTACATCCCCAGCTGTTTTTTATTTTGAGATTAAAAGCAGGTCTCATTAAGTTTCCCAGTCTTTGCTTGAACTTGTGATCCTCCTGTATGCTTCAGCCATCTAGAGTACTGAGATTACAGAAGAGGACCATGTTGCCTGGCTCTTTACTAGTGATGCTGTATGGTATATATGCTGTCAAAGCAAACACTTCTTTTTTTTTTTTTGTATGGGGGGATCGAACTCACAACCTTGCACTTTCCAGGCAAGTGCTTAAGTCACTGAGCTAAATCCCTGGCCCTAACACTTCTGCTGATATATAAAGGGTATGTATTTTAATTACAGCAACCTCTTTGTAAACTAACAGTGCAAAATTGATAAATATGAGGAAATAAATGGGTAAAGAAGGGGATGCTTCTACAGCCAGGTACAGTAGTGCACACATATAATCTCAGCACTTGGGAAGCTGAGATGAGAGGATATCCATGAAATCAAGGCCGGTTTATGCTCCATAGTGAATTTAAGAGCAGCCTGAACTATGTCGTGAGATCTTGTCTCAAAAACAACAAAAAAGCCAATTAAGCTGGAAATTGGCAGGTAAGGTGGTATAAGTCCAGCTACCTGGGAGACTGAGAAGGAGGATGGCAAGTTCCAGGGCAGCCTGGGCAACTTAGTGAGATCCTGTCACAAAATAAAAAATGAAAATGTAACCCAGTTTGAGAACCCCTGGTATTAATCTTCAATACTGCACCAAAAAGAAAGAAAAGAGAAGAAGTAGGGTTTATTATTTGGAGCAAGTAGACAGCACTGCACTGGCAATAATTTTCCTCAAGCAAGGGGCTTTTAGTAGGGAAACACTACAGGAAAGACTCACTATATGTGGAGGTGGGCATACTCTTGAGCATGCTCAGTTCCAAGTCCTGCTGCTCCAACCTGCGATCAAACAGTGACCAGTGGAGAATGCCTCTGGGGGAAGAATTCAGTATTAGAATGAGTGAAGGTTACTGTAATTCACCTAAATGGAGAGAAGGAGGGCAGGGTGATTGCAGTTTTGGATGGCTCCTTGTAAGTTTCTCTGGAAGGTCTCATTTGACACAAAAGTAACCATAGAGGTACCTTACAGTCCATGAAAGGGGCAACAGCTCTTTATTGCAATTGTATGTGATGGTCCTTGAAAATATCAGCCTAAATGGTATCAGTAGTCTATGGTCAGTCAGACCACCCTATATATGTGCTCATTTAAAGTCCACCAGTAGCAATATGAGTTTTGGGGGTGATACGAATATTCATTCCACAGCAAGGTGCAAAGATTTTCAAGGGCTAAGAGGTCAATATAGCTGAACAAGAACCAATTTCCAAATCCTCAATCTCCTTTAGTAGAATTTCCTAAAACATGATTTGCCTGAGAACTCACCTTCACTTTTCTTTTTTCTTTTTTGTTTTTTGAGTTTTTGAGACAGGGTCTTGCTATGTAGTTCAGGCTGGCCTCCAACTAGTGGCAATCCTCTTGCCTCAGCCTTCTGGAGTACTGGGATTACATGTGTTCACCACCACCTCTGGCTCTCATCTTCAGTTTTCTTTTCCTACTTGCCCTCCTGAATCTCTCAGATAGAAAGTGTACCTTTCAAAGGTCAGAAGACTTGCTACGGTTCTTTGGCCCAAGGTGTAAAACAAAGTGACAGTTTCAGATACAGATGTCCAGAAATATTAACTCAACACCCTGTAACCTAATCCTTCCTCATCCTACAAGGAGATGCATTTCCAATACATTTCTATGTTTAATAATAATCATCATCATCATCATCATCATCACAATATATGCTATTTTTATGTTATTTTTATTTTGTATGCATATTGCAATTATAATTCAGTTCAGAAGACCTTTTTTTTTGTCTTTTTCGTTTTTATCGGTACCAGGGATCAAACTCATGACTGCCTGCTTGCAAGGCAGGCGCTTATACCGCTGAGCTAAATCCCCAGCCCCCAGAAGACCTTTTTATACTTGGAACCTTATGGCCACAAGGAAGTAAAATTAACTTACTTTACGCTTGTGGGCATATTTTTGTTGCAGAGAAATTCAATATGATAATCAACAGCATAATTTTGAGCATAAAATACAGTAGCATGAAATTCTGGTGTGAGAATGTAAAGGGTGTCTGATTTCAAGGAGAAAAAAGGAACAACATAAAGTTTTTGAGGGTGTAGAGTTTACATTTTATTGTACTTTGAGTGTTTGATGATGGGCATCAAATTTAATATCTTTAAAAGGATGATAAGAAGTTTTATTTTAAAATATCAATGTTAACAGTATGCTACAAATTAAACTTTTTGCATCTATTTCACCATGTTGAAAAATTTAGAGGTCTATGTCAAAATGTGTGAAGGAGTATATGGCTTCTCAAAATTCTTTTAAAGGTTATGTGAATAAAAATTTGAAGACTCTGCCGGGTGTGATTGCACACAGCTGTAATCGCAGCATTCTGGTAGGCTAGGATAGGAGGATCACAAGTCCAAACCTAGCCTGGGTAACTTAGTGAGACACTGTCTGAAAATAAACAAAAAATGAAAAAGGCTGTGGATGTAGCTCCGGAAAAAGGCCCTGAGCTCAATCTTTAGAGTGGAAAAAAAAAGCCTCTTGGATTATCATAAGTTATTAGAAAAGTTAGGGATAAAGTACACAAAGAATCTGGGATAGTGGTCAATTATGGCTACTGTTGTTTGAGCAACTGAGTCCTAATTCTAACCCTCTTTTTCCTTTGGTATTTAGTCTTGAGCGTTTGTGGTTCTCTGTGCTTTAGTTTCATTGTCTAGATCAAGAATAACATAAAGTTATTTGGTACAGGAAATTAGATGAGTATGATTATACCTCACATAATTAATGTCAATAGTGATTTTCACAGTGATTAAAATTTGATAAGCTCTGTAAGTCAAAGCATATAGTAGCTAGTCAAACATGCTTATAAAGCATTATAAGCCTTTAGCATTATAATGCTAAAAGAAAATTTGCTTGAATGAATGGCTATACCATGCAGTGTGTGCTTCACGTTAGTACTTGCATTTCTCTGCTCCATGATGCATTTAAAGCACATTTTGGGTATTTTCCCATAAGTGAACCTTTAAAAAAAAAAAGTAGAAAATAGAGCTCAGTGGCAGACCTCTTGCTTGGAATCCAGGACGCCTTGGGTTCCATCCTTGACCGGTGTGAGGAAAGTAGGAAAATCCTCCCTGGGATATGGCTAATTATTAAATTAGAGGATGTTTCTTTACTGGATTCTTCATTTTGCCATATCGTATAGTGACTGAGAACAGTGCCTTTAAAATCAGACTCGGTTCTACAGCGGACAATGACCGGTCGGTAAACCACAAGACCCCCTCCCTTGATTTTCCTATTACATGTGGAAAAACATATGCTTTAATCATCACCCTATGTAATGATTTGCGTCCCCATAACCCTGCTCTGAGGATCTATTCAGGTAAAAAGTGAATTCCTCATTAAGGCCTCCGCCTTTTTTTCCCGCAGGGTGTTCTGAGCTGACAGCGAGATCCTACTCTAAGATCTGAGTATAAGAATCCTAGAGTAGGCCCTTGAGAATTAGCGTCTTGAACCAGAAGAAACAAGAAAGAGGCGACTAAGTTCATAAATCAAAAAAAAGTTAGAAAGCGGAGACAAAAAGAATATACAAGCCAGCCAAATAATGGAGAAGTGAGAGATAGCTTCCCGTCAAGGTCACCTATTTCTCCTGGGCTCTTGTTTCAACGGCAGAAACTTGCCTGACACCCTCTGGGGCCGCCACACTCCTCCCCCACCCCGCCCCCGGGATCCTGGGCAGGCTGGGAATATCGACCTGGGAGTGCAGCTGCGCTGATGGGGTGGCGGGTGAACACGGGGAGGAGTCATGGGGCCTGTGGACAGAAAGACTACATCTCCCAGGCCGCCACGCTTTCCAGCTGGAGTCCTAAAGCGCTGACTGCTCCCCAGTTTCCGTAGGGAAGCACTGGGTTACCTCAGCTATTGTGCGTCGCCCCATCGCCCTCCTCTTCTCACTTCGGGTCCATGGAGGAAGGCTACATTTCTTCACCTCCCGGACTTAACCCTTCCAGCACCTACCCCGTCAGTAGGCCGGCTCCCTAGCACTAGGCGCCAAGTTGGCAGGCTCTGGTAAGGAAACCCTGGCGTAGAAGAAAGTTGAGGAAAGAACCTGAGGGCACAGGCTAGTTTTCGAACTCCATTGCGGCGGGGTGGAGGCGGTGGCTTTAAGAAGGGGGAGGGGACAGAGCAATCCGGGTGGCCCGTGGAGTTCGGCAGAGGAAACGTTCAGCTAGTTCCAGAGCTGGGAGCGCTGAGAGGCGGCTCCCAACCCCAGCCTTCACCCTCGCCTACACCCTGGGCGGGCCCAAGTGTCACGTTTACCAGAGCCCAGAAAGAATCCTGCTGGTCTCCAGAGGCAAGCCGGGCTGGGCTGTGGTTTCTGCTGCTTATGGGAAGAGGCGATGCCTAGTGGGCATGCTGCTTCTTAGGCAGTATCCCCCCGGGGTCGGACTGTATTACTGAGCCATCCCTGCCACCTGAAGCCACCACCAGGCCGCGCGTTCCTCGCTCGCACCAGCCAGCGCTGCCCAGGAATCTCACTGGAACAGGTACCTGTCCTCCAGAGAGGAGAGGCAAAGAGCAAATTTAAGCGGGTCCCGCGGTCAGTCAACCTCCTTTATTTCCGCTGTTGTGCCACTGATGCTCTCGGCCTTTGTGTCTTTCCTGTCTCTCCCAACCCCCCGCCATCAGAAACATGGGGCATCCCCCACTTGAGTTCAGCGACTGCTACCTGGACAGCCCCGATTTCCGCGAGAGGCTCAAGTGTTATGAGCAGGAGCTTGAGAGGACCAATAAATTCATCAAAGACGTGATCAAAGACGGCAACGCGCTTATCAGCGCAATGAGAAGTAAGTGGAAGGCTTTCATGAACTGTTTTTCTGGAGCCAGTGGCTCTTGCCTTTCAATCTTTCCACACTAGAGAGGGAAGGGACGATTGGGAATAACTCCCAGCCCAGATCTCCAAGGCAAATGGGTTTCTGACACTTCAGGGGTTAGTAGAAATGGAAAGTGGTGGATACAAACAGAACTTTGAGCCTTTCCCTTTAATGGCTTTCATCTTAAAAGACTTGATCTGCAGCTGTGCCGGTGACCCTCTTGCTCTGCAATTAACCCTTACTTATTAGGTGCTTGTTCTAAAGGACAGTCTGCCTGTACTATCAAACATATTTCGGGACCTGTAGCTGGGACAAGATGAAATTTAAATGGACCAATGTAATACCCCCCCCCCACTTCCTAAATAATTGGGACTTACATCTAGAAACTTGAGTAATGATTTTGTGCCAACCTCTGGTTATTAAAGATAAATGTGGGGATAGTAAAAAAAAATTCCCCATGTCCAGTCATTTTCCAAGGAAAGTCCCTTTGTTCCAGTGATTTTTTATTTTAACATATTGAACTATGACTTCAGTCTAGGTCAATCGAAGCTCCGAATTATGGATTGGCTTCACTTGCCACTGAATTCTGCTTGAGGGCGGAACAAAGGCTTGCCTAACCCTTGGCATGAAGACCCTGTCCTCGGGGAGTTAAGATTCAGGGCCAGGGTTGATGGCTATTGCATTGAAAAAAACCTGACCCAGCATAGTTTTTCCAGTGGTTACTTCAGATGCAGCTGTGGGACTGTCCTTCCTTTTTCCTCTCTGTGTGAAAGTTTTTATTTCTGCTGGTTGGTGGGAGGCTTGGAGTGAAAAAAAGGAATAATACCCTTTTGAGTGTGCGGGCAAACCAAGCCTTTGTGCCAAAGTATATGCCCTGAAGAATGGAGGCTAATGATTGAATGGAGTGATAGTTTTTTCTCTTTTTGTCTGAAAAATAATTATGGAAAATAAAGTCACTGGTGAATATGTCCCTTTATGCTTATAACTTTGTTTCGAGTGGATTCATGTCTAAAACACTGTCTAGATTCAGTGTGGGGATTTGATTTAAGACAGATGCAATCAAGTCAGAGCAGGGAGAAAGCCTTAGGAGCTGCAGCACAATGGTAACTGCTACTAGTTTGTGTTTGTTGTGCAGCTCTACCATTTGCCCTCTGGAATTTGTGCTTCAGTTGCACACACTGTCTGTGCATTTTTGGTCAGAATCTGTAAACTATTCAAGTTTCTGCAGGTCATGTGACTGAGTTAGATCGTTAATAGTTGATCTTGTTGTGATCTGATTAAGAGTAAACTCTCAGTAGCACTTTAAGGATATGAGGTATTTGAAATGCTGACACTTAGAGACATATGTAGGCTAGGATTTAGGGTGTGTCTCCATTTTGAGACATTAAGGATATGCAGATTATGTCACAGAAATAGAAAAGACTTCAGTGGAGGGAGAAGGGAAATGTTTGGGCTGTGCAGTTTTCTATTTCAAACATCTTGGTACTATATTCTCTGTCAAATGAAGCTCATTATATGCACTAGAAAGAAGGTGGCTTGGTGAAATGGACCGTAAGCAAGGGTGTTTAAAACAGGACCAGCTATGGCACATCAGAGAGATTAAATTTGTAAGAAAAAAACACAGTTCAGTAAAACATTTGGTGGAAGGGCAAATGTTTTGTAAGCTAGAAGCAAGTACTGTAGTAGTTTTTATTTCTTTTCTAAGACTAAAAGGGACAAGGAGTCAGCAATCATGCAGGCCCAAACCTTTGCATATAGGCAAAAGATCCAAAGATATTCTAGGCCCAGAGGCTCTTAGATATTTGTGGTGGTTTTCCTGTTAGGTGTATACATAGAAAGCTAAAAAAAGAATGGGTAGGAAATGAAATCCAGCAGCAACCCCTGCTCTATTTCTTTTGTTTAAATTGTGTAGCTGTTAAATACTTAAGTAGTCAATGGGTAAGGTAGGCTGTTTCCCACTGTCTGGACCACAGTAATGTTTATACAGTACTCCCACACTTTCCTCGCCTCTTGCCAGCTGGGCACTTTCTGAGAAGAGGTAGGGTGAATGCAAAACAAAGGTGTGCTCTTTCTTTGTGTGGAAGAAAAAGTGAAGGAGAACATTGGGATTGCAGTTAGAAGATTTGCATTACAGTCTTAGCTTCTCCATCTTGGGATCTGACATAAACCACTTGTTTCATTTGTAAAATAGAAGTAATTAAAGCATTTACAATTTTTTTAAGGAGAAGGAAATGTTAGTTATCCCAATTTAATTACTATACACTGTATGCATTTGTCAAATTAAGGTACTATGGCTTATAAAATTTGTACAATTAAAAATGGTGGTAATTATATCTATTCCACAGGCTCAAAGGGATTAATTGATTCTGAAGGTTCTTTGTGGAAAAAGCTAAAAAATATACATTGCCGATAATACATCTTTGGGTCATTAATATATCTGTTGGTGAATGTACAGTTTTCAATAGATTTCAGAAGGTAAATAAATAAACAGAAGTAGTTGGAAGCAAAGTCTCTTTTTTGGGGCTGTTGATCTTGTTGGAAAATATCTTTCCCTACATTGGCATGGCTCAATGAGTTTTGTAGTCATGTGCATGGATCCATCTTGGAATCTTGAGTCTGGCCTTAAAAGCCAAGAGAATAGTTGAGACTTTTATTTAACAAATTAATTTGACCATTAAATAGCTGTTGTTTCTAGGAACCAGTGAGATGTGGCATGCTGTGCTGCAGAAATCAGCTACAGTTTTTCTTAAAGTTATACAGGTAGAACTTGATTTCTACATTTTATCCTGCTTGTATGGTTTTATACAGAACTCTAATAAAACTTGTTACAGTTGTATGTGATGATTAATTCATTAAATGTAGATCCTATTTGAGGATTTAGATTTACTCAGCTCTGTGCAGAATTAATTGATATTATAAATGATATTCACCCAGTCTTCCTTGAGGAAGTGGTTGATTATCACATCCCCATTAAATGTGATCTATTTGTAATTTTTGGAACATAAGATGATTGTAATTTAAAACTAATGGAGCCAGGTTTGCTGTTGCATACCTGTAATACCAGTGCTCAGGGAGGTTGAGGTAGGAGGATCACAATTTCAAGCCCAGGTTGAAGAATTTAATGACTTATTGAGATACTGTCTCAAAAATTAAAGGGCTGGGGCACATGTAGCTCAGTGCAAAAGCCATAGGTTCAGTGCCCAATACTAGAAAAAAAAAGACCCAAAACTAATAGAAAATAAAAAGACCACTCTTAAAGGTGACCTAAATTGCCCATTTTATGTCCTTTATTTTTATGATGACAGTTTCAGTTTTGATGTTTCTTGAATATTTGCTAAGCACTGAGGCAAGGCATTGTTCAGAATAAGCAAGGTGGCCCTACATGTATATGCCCGGGCATTAATGGAACACATAGTAGATATTATATATAGTGCACCAACCACATGCCATTGATTGAGTAAATACTTGTGCACATTGCTGTGCTCAAGTCATTGTTCAGAGGGCTGTTGAGACAGCTACAGTGAGTCATAGACACTGACCTCCAGAAGGTCCTAGGCTAGTAAGGAGAGATAAGACATGGCTAGAAATCGATGTTTTGTAACATAGTAGATAGAGATTAGAGGCTAAGAGCTGGTAGGGCAGTAGCATGTGATGGTATGTGACATTACGGGATGTGCTCATTTCCCAGTGGGAGGATGGATAGAGGGAAACAAAAGAGATAATACCATTGAAGCTGGCAAAATTAATAGCACTTGTCCTTTGTTTAGCTGTTTTCATGTGACAGATATTACATCTTGTAATATTTTATGAGATAAGGTTTATTAATATTTTGTGGTTTGGAGAGTCAATCCTAGGGTCTTATACAAAATGGGGCAAGCTCCCTACCACTGAGCTACATCACCAACCTGAGATAAGCATTATTATTTCCATTCTATATATGAGAAAGTTATAATTTGGAGTTAAGAAACTTTTAAATTAATAAGGCCAACAGTCAATCAAAACCTGGATTTGACTCTGAAAGCTCTGCTTATTTTACAACAACATGACACTGGGTTCTGGACAGGACATTTTGTTGTAGGAACGGAGCAGAGAGTGTAAGGGGACAACAAATAATTCAGGCTATCTGAGGTATAAACTATACAAAGGGAGGTTTGGAAAATGAGTTTGGAATTGAAGGTTGAAACCTGACTGTACTGGACCTATTAAGAATGTCAGATTTAATAGGGTGTGCTGAAAGGTTTTTGGGTAGACAGGAGCATTGTTAGAGCTGTACTTTAGGATGATTCATTTGAGAATGATGTGTAAGCTATTAGAAGTGTGAGTTTTTTGACAGTATAGAGTTTGAATACTTTTAAAATATAGCTTGTAGTCAGCAAATCTTTTCTAGAAAAGGCCATGTGGTACCCACTTTAGAACTAGAGGGTCATGCAGTTAAGTCTCTGACAGCTATTCAACTTTGCCATTCTTGAGAGATCATCCAAAGAGAATAAGAGAATAAAATGAGAGTATTTCAGTAAATCTGGCACTGAAATGTGAATTTTACATATTTTTACATATCATGAAATATTCTTCCTTTGAATTTTTTCAACTATTTAAAAATATAAGGACTAGGGGTATAGCTCAGTGATAAAAGCACCTGCTTAGCACATTTGGGGCCCTGATTTTGATCTTTTCTTTCTTCTTTATATCTCTTTACCATTCTCAGGTAGACTGGGGAGTGAAATGTATAGAAATAGGTAGAAGGTTGAATTTGCTTTGCCAGCTATAGTTCACTGACCTGTGGTATAGCTGGTTAACCTAAAAGACCTAAATGAATTTTTATTAGAATGTAACTGTTTCAAGAACACAATGCTATATATCACATTTTTCATGAGCTAGTTTTACTTCGATGTGCTGTTAATTATGCCAACTCTAGATTCAAGGATTCCAAACTCACATACTGTCAGAGGTTAATAGGAATGGAATTATTACAG